GTGACATGGAAATGTTCTGTTTGGCGGGGAGACGCCCGGCTGGAACTTGGGCTTTTGGAGCTGAAAGCCACAAGGACTGTATTTGTGGAAACTGTATTAAGTGCTCATCGTGTCGCCGTGTCACGCGACCTGTCTGACTCTGCTTCATGGGACAAGCCACTAGACCAGGGGTTATAAAGTGAGCTGCCCACGAGGGCCAGACAGGCAACACAAGCAAGCGAAGCCCAGGCGAGGGTGGCGGGGCCCGGGCTCCCGGAGGGCTGGGCCGGCCCTGACGGCCTCCCAGTCCTGGATGGCGCTGCTCAGCTGCGGTGTGGGGTTGGACTCAGTAGAACTTCCAGTTTCTTATTCAGGAGAAGCTGGAACTTGGGATGTGCATGTGAAATTTTCAGATTTAAAAAAAAACACCTGTCTTGATTGGATGAAGCCTACAGAATGCCAATTTGCTGACCTCTGTACTAGATGAAAACTGTGTGTATATGGGACCACTTGTCTGTCTTGTTCACAGGCCTGTACATTGAAAACCATCCAGAAAATGTTTGTTGAGTGCCCTTCAGTGGGAAGAAAATGAAAACTGGGTTTTCAAGGACAATTTGACAAACTTTCCTGAGAATTTAGGATTTGGCCGGTGAAGCCCTTCTGCTGTTTCTGGCTGGCCTTTGTGAATATCTGGGTGTCTCCTTTAACTTCAGAGATTGAAGCCAGTTTCCTGATCAGAAAGACAGAGATCATTGATTCATTTATGAGAAGGCAACACTGAACTTTAAAACAGAATATTAAGAAAATGTAAACTTTCCTTGTTTAAAAACTTCTTATAGGGGCGATAAAGTGCTTCCAGTATAATGCTGCAGATGAAGAAAGAATACGGGGGATTTGGATATTTAACATTTAATAATATCTATATGTGACAGTGGCAAATAAGGAACAGTGTGATAAACGTGTCTCTGGCATTACCATCACTGATCAAATAATGAATGGGCACACACATTGCGGACAGTGTATTATATACAAAGATGCACAATGCTAGACGTTGCATATTTGAACGTTTTGGGGTGTTTCGTTTTGTATAAGAGCATTTGGACTGCTCTTACCTGCTTCTCCCTTGTTTAAGCTCCGTGTTGTCACCGGGCCAGTAACAGGTGGAAGAGCTTCCTACTGTTACAGAGAATTGCATTCTCTAAGCTGTAGGACCGTCGGCTGAACCACAGGTCAGGCGATGTGCTGGTCAAATTTCTTAGCCAATTTAACTTTGTTTCCATGGTTCCATCATTAGGTCCTTCCAGCTCACCATTCAAGAAACACTCAAGAAATGACAAAGGGCCCCAAGGTGACTGGAACTTGAGTACTTATTGGACATCAGTGTAGAATGACAGACCAGCCAAGAGGAAGCCTGGCAAAGAATGGCACTGCTGCCCCACGGTGCTCTGAGTCCTTCTTACCCATCTTTAGTCATTTAGTCACACATCTCAAATGCAGGCCTGATGGATGAGGTTTTTCGGCCTGATAGAATTCCCTAGAATTCCCGGACTGAAAGAGCAACCACAGTGGCAACATTAATTTACTGCTAGCGCTTTGCTAAGTATTTTTCATGCAGTGCAGTGTGTCACTCGGTCCCTCCAACAACCCTTTTGCAGATCAGGACACTGTGGAGTGGCTGGAGTGACCTTCGTGCAAGTGCTTTACAACGTCATAATGGAGTCGCCAGGTTACCTTTCGCTGTGCGCAGCATGCCTTGCACACACCTGTACATAGCAGCTCATAGCACTTCCTTCACCTGTACTGTTTTCATACACCAGTAGCATGTGAGCTCCCCAAGGCCTTTCTGCATCCCCATCGCACTAAGAATAATACAGGGAGACCTCGAAAATACTGCGGATTTGGTTGCAGAACACCTCAACAATGTGAAGATTGCAGTCAAGCAAATTGTATGAATTTTTTGGTTTCCCAGTACATATAAAACTTATGTTTACACTATAGTTAATACATTATAGTGTATTACACTATTAATAGTGTAATAATGTGTATTAATAGTGTAATACACTATATTAAGTATGTGATAGCATTATGTCTAAAAAATTATACATACCTTTATTGCTAGAAAATGCTAACCATCGTCTGACAATGCAGGGTTGCCAAAAACCATCATTTGTAGAAACTACGATATCTGTGAAGCTCAGTTAAACGAGGTATGCCCATATGCAGTGGATGCTTGGCAAATGCTGGAGATTCTTTGTAATGAATTTTGTGGTTATTGAACCTTCCAGGGTGGAAAGAATCCAGTCTTGCTGGACGAGTTTAACTCACAGTTAACAACCAGTTGCTCAATTAACAATCTTCATTTGCTCAGCCTTGTACTGGGACTGTGGCACACACAAAAGGAGGAGACCTTCCTTCTACTCTGGAGGAGCTGGTATCTACTCTAGACCTGGATAAGAGAGACCCCTGCCCTGGGTCCTGTAGGGTAGGGGCTGCCTCTGTCCCTCCTCTGCCATGCCTCCCACCCTATTTTGAGGAGTCTGTGGGACTGAAAGCCACATACCCCTTCTTCTAGGCTGTGTTCTGGGTACTTAGGATACTGGAATCTTCTACCCAAACACCCCTGAGCCCCCTTCCAGGAGCACAGGGCTCCAGCACGTCTCCCGAGGCCTGCGGGGTGGCCAAGGGGCAGCTGCTTGCAGTATGGTTGGGGGTGGGTGTGAGATGGAGCTTGGGGTGCATGTGGGATGGAGCCAAGTGGAAAAGAAGGTGCTGCTATGTTCCAGCACTGATCTCCAAGGAGCCCCACAATCCTAAGTTCAAGCCCCAACTTCCAAGGTGTTTTGAAGCCATATTTGTTCCAGTAGGAGGACAAAACTCTCTTATTTAAGAGCTTATCAGATTGATTTAAAACGTTTAAAATTTCAACCTGTGGGAGATGGGCCTCCATTGGAACTGGAACTTGCTAGGGGGCAGGCCCCTGTGGTCTGGACCACCTCTTAAGCCCTCTGGCTCACAGCGTTTTGTCATCCCCCACCCGCTCCCAGGTCAGCCAGCAGAGTGCCCACCTTGAACACCTAGGGCCTGGGGCACAGCACTTGGGGAGGGGGTTCTGGCTGTGGCCCTCCTATGAACATCCTTGGAAAGTTGCAAGGGCTTATTTGCATGCTAGCTCCTCCCACTAGGCTGCCAGAATGGCTTAGCGTTTCTGTTAACAAATACCCTGTCACCTTGTTTCCTCGCTTAAAACACTTTAGAGTGTTTTTGCTGAAGCTGAGGAGTGGCTCTGTGCACACAAATGCGTAATCAGCTGACAGCAGTTTCAAAATTGCGGGTCTTGCTGTTGATGGAAAAATGGGAGCCTTGGTTGTTATTCCTTGTGTGTAATTTTCCCCAAGAAACGAGGGACTGGGTTTAATGTCAACACCTAGAGATTTAATGTGATCCTATTGCTGGAAACCTATACCTTTAGCCAAATCTTGCCTTACAACAATGTGTGTTGTTTTGCTAAACACCCCCTACCCCATTTGCCACTCCTGAGAAAAGAGAGGGTGTTAGTGAAGGTTCAGCTCAGAATGGAACCGGACCCTACTTTCTCTATTCTGTGAGCACAGACTGCTGATCACTGGGCCCACCCGGATCCAGGGAACCCACCACAAGGCCGTGTCTTAACTAACTTGGGAGGGAGGGAGTGTGGAGAGGGGAAAAGATAAGGAGGGCAGGGGTGGTTATGTTCCTCAGTCTCCAGTCTCCAGCCTCCAGCCTCCAGCCCAGCAGGGAGGAGGTTTACTTCAAGCATCAGATCACAATAGGGCACCCCCCGCTTGGCCCTCACCACCCCAAAAATGTTGGATGGCATGTGTTTCAAATTAAATTCAATTTGATGTTATTTTGAAAACGCAGAGATGTCAGAACCCCCTTTGAGGTGGGTAATTGGTGATACTCCATGGGGCTCACAGAGACCAAGTTGGTTAATCTTGGGGACTGGCAGGAAAACCAAGACTTATTGGAAAAGTAACTTTTGGCCACATATGTTTCCTCTAGTTATTAGCAATTTGTCCCCCGAAGCCTATTCAATAGTGCTGATGAATTTAGCATCTGCTTTCAACTTTTTCCCACTGAATTGCTGGCAGTGTTCTCCCATCTCTGGAGGGTGACGGTTTGGATACACAGGAGCATAAGAAACAGATGTATACTTTTATTGTACTTGTTTTCCAAATGACACCATGACCCACCCGCATCCCAGCTCCAAATAAATGAAGCGGGTAAACAGTGCCAGACTTTTTTTTCCTGCATAAGAAGACTTTTCCCAAGGCCAGTTCTGCGCTCGGCTGTATCTCCCAGGGCAGGGAGGGTTCCTCTGGAGTTTGTCTATGAGGAAGATGCGTGTGTGTGGTGGGGTGGGGGCAGGATGCCTTTCTAATGGCCATAACTGGATTTGTCGTATTCTCATTAGCTCAGACTGCAATCTGATGTGCACAGAGAAGGAATTTGGTGGCAGGTGGGGCAGGAGCCAGGGCCAGCCTCAGGTGGCCGGGTTAGGAAGGTGTCTAACTGGTATCAGTGGCCAGGCCCAGGCACTGCTGGCTCAAGGACAGAAACTGGGGGCAGCATTTGGGCCAGCTGAAATTTTCAAGTCAGGGGTTCCATGCAGGAAGAACCAGAGCTGCCCTGGAAGGACCCAGGATGGAGGCGTGCTTGCCTGTGGTTGAGGCTTAAGACTAAAGATGCACGGGTGCACACACCCGGTGTCTGCCGGCTCCTTCCCCAAGAGGGCTGGCCGCAGGGAGGGTGCTGGGACTCCCCCAGGGCCTCTCCATCTTTCCATCCCGAGGCCCCAGCGCACTTCCTGGGGGGGAGGCGGGAGAGTCACCAGTCCCTGAGACTTGGCTGCACCCCGCACTCATCCCCATGTTCGCGATATCCCACCCCCTCGCCAGCTCCACGCCTGCGGGTGCCCCATGAGCAGGGAGGCGGCGGCCACTCGTCCAGACTTGGCCCTGACGTTGCTCTGTCCTTTGCAGACGGACTGTGCCCTATGGACTGTCCAACTACAGAGGAGCTTCCGGGCCAGGCGGTCGGCGGGGCCGC